CTATATATAGACAATAAATGGGCTGAGAAAGAAATCAGAGAAACATCACCCTTTACAATTGCCACAAACAACAAAATATCTTGGGGTAACACTAACCAAACAAATGAAAAACCTGTATAGCAAGAACTTTGAGTCTTTAAAGAAAGAAATTAAAGAAGATACCAGAAAATGAAAAGATCTATCATGCTCTTTGATAGGTAGGATCAACATAGTAAAAATGGCAATCTTGCCAAAAGCAATCTACAGATTCAATGCAATCCCATCAAAATCCCAGCACAATTCTTCACAGATTTTGAAAGAACAATATTCAACCTTATATGGAGAAGCAAAAGACCCAGGATAGGCAAAACAACCCTGTACAATAAAGGAACTTCCGGAGGCATCACCATTCCTGTCTTCAAGATCTATTATAGAATAGAGCCATACTCCTGAAAACAGCTTGGTATTGGCACAAAAACATACAGGTAGACCAATGGAATCGAATTGAAAACCCTGATATTAACCCACATACCTACAAACACCTGATACAATGGAATAAAGAAAGCATCTTCAACTAATGGTGCTGACATAAATGGACGCTGGCATTTAGAAGATCCATATCTATCACCATGCACAAAACTTAAGTCCAAATGGATCAAAGACCTCAACATAAATCCAGCAACACTGAACCTATTGGAAGAGAAAGTGGGAAGTATCCTTGCACTAATTGGTACAAGAGACGGCTTCCTGAACATTACACCAGTAGCACAGACACTGAGGTTGATAATAAATGGGACCTCCTGAAACTTAGAAGCTTCTGAAAGGCAAAGGACACAGCAAGACAAAACAAGAATGGGAAAGCCCACAGAATGGGAAAAGATCTTCACCATTCCCACATCTGACATTGGGCTGAAATTTACAAAGAACTCAAGAAGCTAGTTTCCAAAATACCAAATAATCCAATTAAAAAGTGGGGTACAGAACTAAATAGAATTCTCAGTAGAGGAATATAAAATGGCTGAAAAACACATAAAGTTCTCAACATCCTTACCCATCAGGGAAATGCAAATCAAAACAACTCTGAGATACCATCTTACTCCTGTCAGAATGGCTAAAATAAAAAACACCAATGACAGTTTATGCTGATAGGTTGTGGAGAAAGGGGAGCACTCCTCCACTACTGGTGGGAGGGCCCACTTGTACAGCCATTTATGAAATCAGTATGGCGATTCCTCAGGAAAATGAGAATCAGCCTACCACAAGATCCAGCAATTCCACTCCTAGGCATATAATTCAAAAGAAGCACATTCATACAAGGACATCCGTTCAAACTATGTTCATAGCAGTATTATTTGTAATAGCCAGAACCTGGAAGCAATCTAGATGCCCTTCAACAGAAGAATGGACAGAGAAAATGCAGTATATTTACATAATGGAGTACTACTCAGTGGGGGTGGACGACAATGGAATCTTGAAATTTGCAAGCAAATGGATGGAACTAGAAGAAACCATTCTGAGCGAGGTAACCCAGTCACAAAAAGACAAACATGATATGTACTCACTCATATGTGGATTTTAGACATAAAGGATTACCAGCCTACAATCACACTGCCAGAAAAGCTAGGAAACAAGGATGACCCTAAGAGAGACATACATGGTCCCCCAGAGAAGGGGAAAGGGACAAGATCTCCTGAGCAAATTGTGATCATGGGAGTAGGGGAGAGGGAGCTAGGAGAATGAAAAGGGGAGAAGAGGAGTGAGGAGGATATGAATGAGGGAGCAGGGAAAGAATAGAGGAGAACAAGATAAGACATACCATAACAGAGGGGGCCATTATAGGTTTAAAGAGAAATCAGGCACTAGGGAAATGTCAAGAATCTACAAGGATGGCACCAACTAACAATCTAAGCAACAGAGGAGAGGCTACCTTAAATGCCTTCCCCTGATAATGAGATAGACGACTAACTTATATGACATCCTAGAGACTTCATCAAGCAGCTGGTGGAAGTAGATGCAGACACCCATAGCTAAACACTGAACTGAACTGGAATCCAGTTGCAGAGAGGGAGGAGTGATGAGCAAAAAGGTCAAGACCAGGCTGGTGAAACCCAAAGAAACAGCTTACCCAAACAAGGGGGAGCTTATCGTCCCCAGACTGATAGCTGGGAAACCAGCATGGAACTGATCCAGACCCCATGAATGTGGGTGTCAGTGAGGAGGCCTGGGAAATCTATGGGGCCACTTGTAGTAGATCAGTACTTATCCCTAGCATAGGAATGGACTTTTGGAGCCCATGCTACATAGAGGGATACTCCCTCATCCTAGACACATGGGGGTGGGCCTAGGCCCTATTGCAAAGGATATGATAGATTTTGAAGAACCCCCCCCCATGGAAGGCCTCACCCTCCCTGGGGAGCAGAATGGATATGGGACAGGTAGGGTGTTAATGGCGGACAGGGGAGGAGGGAAGGGAGAGGGACCTGGGATTGACATGTAAAACAATCTTGTTTCTAATTTAAATAAAAAATGGAAAAAAAAAGTGAAAGGTTGCCTGGTGGTTTGGAGCATGCCTTTAATCCCAGTCCTCAGGAGGTAGAGGAAGGCACGCCTCTGTGTCTGGTTTACAAGACCTAGTTCCAGTACAGCCTCCAAAGAAGCCACAGAGAAACCCTTTCTCTGAGAAAAAATAAGAAAGAAAGAAAGAAAAAAAAGAAAAATGTTTTGCCAGGTGGTGGGTGCACATGCCTTTAATATCAGTCCTCTGGAGGCAAAGGCAGGTAGATCTCCAATTTCAAGGACAACGAGGGATGTTACTCAGAGATACCCTATGTGTTGGGGGAAGGGGAGAGGTTTTATCCAGAGTTTACCATTTTTAATAGTTTGGTGTTTGATCCCTTAGGCTCCCCCCATATTATCTACATATAGTCTTTAAAAATATATTTGGTATCTTCCTTCTTTCCATCCCTCCCCTCCCTCCCTTCCTTCCTTCCTTCTTTCTATTATTTCTTAGACAGGATTTCTTTGTATAGCTTTGGCTGTCCTGAAACTTGCTCTGTGAACCAGGCTGGCCTTAAACTGGGAGATCCTGAGTGTTGAGATTAAAAGTATGTGCTATCACTACCACCTGCTATTACTTATTTTTTTAGGTGTATGGGTTCATAGCCTACCTTTATGCACCACATGTATTCAGTGCCTACCAAGGCCAGAAAAGGGCATTGTATCTTCTGTAACTGGAGTTAACAAATGGTTGAGAGTCACTGTATAGGTGTGGGAGTTGAACTCGGGTATTCTGGAAGAGACTCAGGCTAGGCTAAGGAGAAGGTTCCATTGATAAAGTACTTGCTTCATGAGAGTCCAGATTTGGATCTCTAGAACCATGTAAAAAGTTAGGCATGATCTTGCTGGACCCGAGTTTTCTTGTTTTCTCATTGCTGAATATCGAACCAACAATGAACTCTACCCCTAGACTATTTGGGACAGGATCTCATGTAGTCCACTCTGCCCCCAGACTGACCATGTAGCAAGGGCCGACCCTAAAATCAAAATGGAGAGATGGTTCAGTGGCTAAGAACACTTGCTCTTCCAGGAGAACACAGGTTTGACTCCCAGCACCCACATAGCAAATCATAATTATCTTCAACTCTAGTCCAGGGGATCTGATGCCCTCTTTTGTCCTTTGGGTACTTCAGGCAAGGCACCCATTAAATAAACAAGGTATATATAAATAAACAAGTTAGGCAAGGCATGGTGTTGTATACCCATGACCCTAGTTCTTGGGAGATGGAAACAGGAGGATCACTCTACCCAGAACCTCAACCTCTAGGTTAAATGAGAAACTCTATCTCAAAAAATGAAGTGGGGGGTCTGGAGCCACGGCTCAACAGTTAACACTGTCTACTCTTGCAGAGGACCTGTGTTTGACATCCAGAACCCACATAGTAGCTCATAATCATCTGTAACTATAGTTCCAGGGGATATGATACCCTTTTCTGGCCTATGCGGGCACTGCACACAGATAGTATATACATATATAAAGGCAGGAAAAGCACTCATAAACAATTCAAGAACTAGTAATCATTAAAACAAAAATAAGATGGAGAACAATTGGTAATCAAAACATGCATGTGTACACAAATATGCATATATCAGACATATATATGACACACATGTTCTGCATTTTATAAAATATATTCACATGTAGACAGCTTTCCTAGAATACTGTCTGTCTCACATTGTCACTTAATGACTATAGATCTACATGACTAAGGAATCTGAAAGAAAGGGATTGCTTTGTTTTAGACATATGGAATTAACATGAACTGGAAGATGAAATTGGATCAGAGAGTGGCATGTGGCAGCAAAGCAGAAGTGTTTGGTGTGCTAAGATTTAGGCTAGGCTAGATGTTAGACACTGCCAGCAGGATCTCTAGAGCCCTAAACTTGGGTGTGTTGTGCCAACCATAGCTACTTTATCTGAACACAAGGTACAGAGTATACATTTTAGCATTAAAGCAGATATATTAAAACAGCTGCACAGGAGATACAGATAGCAGAAGAATTGACCTGTGGGTGCCAGGCACACACATTGTGCATATAGATATATACATGCATTGTCAGATACAAGGGCTCAGGCATGAAGAGCTTGTTAACTCTAAACCTAAAAGACTTTGATTCTTTGTTTCTCTGAATTCAGAGGAAGTAATTCTAATATCTAGGCCTTGCTTTCTCATGATTTAGATGATCTAGGGCCACTCCAAATCTAGGGAGTCTATATCAATCCTTTTATTCAACCTTGTGTTTTTCTCCAGTCAAGCCAGAATGATACTGCTTAGCTTTCTATTAGAATTTGCCTACTCTTATACAACGTTTGTCCTAAGAGAAAAAATTATTAAGTTTTTATGTAGGAAAAAAGTTTTTAAAAATACATGCATACATGTGTAAGTATATGTATTATGTGTACATGTATACATATATACACGGATATGTGTATGTATATGTTTAAAACTACTTTGTTTCTTTAGAAATCAATGTCTGTACTTGAAGAGACATCAAGTCAACTAGCCTTTCTGGAAGAACCAGAACGAGAAGAACGTGAGTTTTTGTTTGATGAAGAGATGGAACAGACAGACAGAAGGAAAAAGACATTTAATGATTGGTCTGATAATGATTCAGATTATGAAATTGATGACCAAGATTTAAACAAGATTTTGATTGTAACTCAGACACCACCTTATATGAGAAAGCACCCTGGAGGAGATCGAACAGGCACCCATACATCACCAGCAAACATTACATCAGAACTTGCTGAAGTGATTAATGATGGCCTGTATTACTATGAACAGGACCTATGGACAGAAGGTGAAAACCTGCGCACAGCCATAAAGGTAACGATTTCTGGTGAGCATCTTTCTGCTGATAGTTTGCTTTGATTGTATGGTATTGCTTGTTTTGTTAATTTCATAAATGCTCAAGTATAAATAAATTATACCCTATTTGAAAATTCTTAGAAATATATTTGATAGTCACAAACTGAGGAACAATTTTAAGTGATGATATAATAATACTATCATCATCAAAAAATATTATTTAATGACTAAAACTTGTGGAAAAATATAATTTCTGATGAAGGAATAAAAAAGTTGCATGGACAGGCCTGCTGGATATGCTTGTTCCATTCTCTTGCCCTTTTACCACAGATTCTGGCCTCTACCTAATTGTTAAGCTAAGGCAGAAGAAAGAACCAGAATGGCTGTCTGGCCTTCAAATGTCTTTAAATTGTAGGCATGTAACAGGGTCTTTTTCTTCTGTTAAACTTTTCAGAGAGGCTTCAAAAGTTAAACATGTCAGTGAGTGATGGAACAGTGAGGGTGAGTTACCTCTCATAGGAGAGCGATCTTAGAAATGAAACTGCTGTAGAAAGAAAAGCTGCCAGCAAATGTTTGAACAGAGGGGACTGCTTATCACAGGCTTGTGAACAAGAGATGTGATCTCCTTAGAATTTCCACTACTGCTTTTAGCCACTGCCTTTTTAGAGAAACTGCCTCAGCTGTATCATGTCAAATGCCTTGAAGCCTGGACATTTTTTGCCTGTCCTGCTACTGTGGGAAAGGAAGTATGCTTTTATGAAGTTTAGATAGAATGTTTTTATTCATAAAAACACATTCGTGTGTGTGTGTCTGTGTGTGTGTGTGTGTGTGTGTGTGTGTGTGTACAAATGTGAACAAATTCACTCATATCTCAATGCAAGTGTGGAGGTTGATTTTTTTTTCCTTCCATGTAGGTTCTGGGGATGGAACTCAGGTCCTCAGGCCTGACAGCGAGCACCCTTACTTGCTGAGCCATCTTGCCCACACTGTTAATTTTATTTCTGATGCTTGCTTCTAGAGGTGATGTCTATCTGAAATCACTTTTGTAGCAGAAATATAAATATATTCTACTAATTGCTGGGTCTTGGGACACAGGCCTGTATAATCCCAGTTTCTTGGAGAAGCCAGTAGGAGTAGAACAAATTCAAGGGTAGCCTGATCAATTTCACAAGACCCTGCATCAAAATAGAAGAGGGTATGGCTCAGTGGTAGATCGTTAGCATGATTGAGGCTATTTCCATGATGAAATCACTGTCCTTGGTTCTAAAAGAATAAATATATTGATGTCAGGTTAGATAGTCAGAATGGGCCTCTGAAAAGAGTCAAGTTAGGATGAAATCAGAAAAGGTAAGAATGAAATGTGCAAAAAAGCAGGAAACAGTATTCCAGGAAGAGGAGTCAATGAAGTATCAGTGATCTGAAAAAGAACAACTGACAAATGTGAGATACCAGTTTGCCCATATCTGTATAAGAAGGTAATTATGTTTGTGTAGACACAGTCAGATTAGAATAGAATTTGTAGACCATGTTAAATAGTGTGGAATTTAAAGTTCAAGTGCAGGTTTACAGATACACTGTGACATGATCCTATTTCTATTTATTTATTCCATTTTTTTAAACTTTTGATTTCATTTTACATTCCAACTACAGTTCTCCCTCCCACCCCCTTGCCCACCATCAGTCCACTTCTCCTCACTGGGGTAAAGGGTCCCATGAGGAGTCAACATAGTCTCTTCCATGTATTAAGACTGAGCATGGCATCCCACCATGGGAAATGAGCTAGCTGGTGTACCAGATTTATATCTTAGTCCTACTGCCAGGGGCCCCTCTGATAGTCCAAGCTTCACAACTGTCTCCCACATATGGAATCTCCATAGTTGTAGGTCTAGAGTTCATGAGTTTCCACAAACTTGGTTCAGCTGTCTCCATAGATTTCTCCATCATGATCTTGACCTATTTTTATTTTTAAAAGATCGATGTGGTCCATAGGACAGAAAATAGACAGGCTTTCTATCTAAGAGATGGAGAATGGTAGGCTTAGTTAAATTGGTAGCACAGGAAATAAGAAAATGAGAACTACATCCGAGCCTTGATGGATAAGAGAGAAGATTCAGGCGTGTCAGAAACTCCATGGTTGATTGAGTAGGAGTGCAGAGCCTGCCAAGATGATACTACAGTTTTAATGAAGAATTGGTGATTTCAGAAGCTGTGTTGAACTGGTGTGGCAGGGATAGGCTCACATATCTTTATTGCTAAAGACCAGTGAAATAGCCACATGAACATGACAGATGGTGAAATGAAAAATCTTAAAATCTCCAAAGGTCTGCAAGGTGAGTGATTAGAAAAGTGAGATGGTGGAGCTTGTTTGTGGAATTTTATTGGTGGTGGTGAGTTCAACCTTGCAGAAGCTACCCAAAACAGGAAAAAAGACAGACACCAAAGTTGGGGATTCTAATGAGTGAGTCCATTCATCATCAAATGATTGCCTTTAAAGAATACATTCTATACTTTCCTGGCAGGGAAGAGACCATGGTCAAGAATGTAGGTTTCCTAGATCAAGGCTCATCTACTATATTTGAAATATGCTGACCCCTGAAAGTTCTCAAAAATTCAGTAAACTCTACTGTGTAAGTTGTTGTGGGGGAGTGTATGCATGCTCTCCCCTAAATTAAAAAAAAAAAAAAAAAAAAGCTAAATAGTTTCTCAGTGAAAAAACTTAATTTGCCTTTTTACTTCCTCCCCTAGGGAACAGAACATTTTACTGGTTGTTTTAAACAGAATAGAGAAGGAAAAAAAATTACACTAGAGGTGTATTCCTGAAGCCCAAGTATAGTGATTGGGGGCTATAGAGATGACTCAGCAGTTAAAAGTACCTGCTGCTCTTTCAAAGAACATAGGTTCAGTTCCAAAAACCCAATTCTTGTCCCTTTGGGTTCCAAGCACACATGGTGAACATTCATACATGCTGTAAGGAAATGTGAGCACCAAAATGTTAGCTAGTGTGATTGTTACAGCTTTGGGGCAGCAAAGGTGTCCTGACTTACCTGGAAGACAGGCTAGCTCTGGAAGCTGGAGCCACAATGGAACAGTTCAGCCCTGGAGAGAGAGGTATCCTGACTTGTCTGGAAGCCGGGCTAGCTGAAGTGGGGTGCAGTGGGGTATGGTCTCCTGCAGGATATAGCAATCCTCTTCTCAGAGCAGTTGCAGCTGCACTCTGCTCAGTTTCCCTAAGCGGAACGTCCTAGCAGAACTAATCGCTTCTTAGTTCTTTGGGGGAAGTCCCTGCAGAAATGTAGCAATCTCCTCCGGCTCCTGCAAAAAGTTGTTACTTTTCTGCTACAAAGGGAATGTTCCAGCAAGTTCTTCTATTCTGCACTAGTAAATGAAGATCTTCAACCAAGACTCTTTGAGAAAGATTTGTTTGGGAAGGAGTTGTCCAGGAGAGTGGCTGCCTCTGCCAGGGTGGGAAAGAATAACCAGTGGCTGAACAGACAGAGGGGTTTATATAGGGCTTCTTAGGGGCAGAATTTTCCCAGGGAGTTTTTCTGCTCAGGAATTGGTTAGATTTCCTGCACAAAGATTGGTTAGTTTAGTTGGTCAGGGACAGAGATGGCTCTGATTTCTGAGCAAACTGTTTCTTTCAGGGGTCCTTTTTTTTTGCCTTTTGGCTCTAATTTTAGGACCAGGGTATATTTCTTTCACTGGCTCTAATTTTAGGGACAAAGTGTGTTTTTTTGGCACTGTTTTCATAGTCAGGATTTTTTTTTTTTTTTTGGTTTTGGGTTCAGGAATAAAGTGTTTATTTCACTGGCTCTGGGTTCAGAGTCAAGGGGCTCAGGGATTGGTTGGTGTCCTACTCAGGGATTGGTTGGTTTAGTGTTTCAGTTGGTCAGGGGCAGAGCTGGCTCTGGTATCAGGGCCAAAGTGAGTTTCTTTGGCTGGCCTATTTACGATACAGATGCAGTCAAAACACTCATATGCACAAAATAAAAGTAAATAAATCTTAGGTAAAAAATAAGGTGGAGAGCTTCCTCATGCATGTGCATAACATGTACATATATACAAAGACAAATAAATCACATAAAAATTATTAAATACGTTTTGAAAAGTTAACCTGATCCTATCAATTTCACAGGGCCTACTATAAGCAAATTTAGATCAGTTTGAATCAACTTTATTCCTGGAACACAAGGTATTTACTCAATATTATTTTATAAGGAAATAGTAGCACAAAGTTAATAAACCAAATGAATTGCCACACAAGAGAATGAACAAAACTATGATACAAGAAGACCAAACCTTAAAATAATTGATGTAGTTTACCTATGTTTATTATACTTAAGGAAATGAAAACTTACTCTAGGGCAGAATGTGGTGGCACACAATCCTAGCACTTGGGAAGCAGAGTCGGGCAGATCTCTTTGAGATTTCAAAGAAAAATAAAATAGAAAGAAAAGAAATTCTAAGAATAAGCATAGAAGTCAATTAGCAGCAAACTAGATGCAGTAGAAACATGAAGACTGCATATCTCCAGATTGGGAATCAGAAGCAACATGATTGCAGATTGCAAAGATGCAAAAGATTTTTGTTTTGTTTTCTTTTTTGTAGTATATACCATTTTCTCTTGTTTCAAATCACTTCTGTAATCTAATATTAAGTCGATTTTACTATAAAACTATTTACTAAAAAAACACAAAACAACAACAACAAAACCACTAGCAAACTACAAACTTGAAATACAGGGTGTCAGAGAACAGGGAAAAGAAACCACCCTGGGGTGGTTTGTTTAACACAAACATTTAGGTAGCTGAAGTAAGTAGATTGTTAGAGTTTATGTAAGTACAACCAGCTATTTACATCTAAAACACTGAAGAAACAAAAGCAGAGTTGGACAGGAAAAATTGTACCATTAGATTAGCACAATCTCCATCAGCATCCAGATGGATGCACAACAATTAATGATTAGAAATTCATGTAAAAATTTAAAAAATTTAAATAATTCAGAATAGTCAAAACAGCCTTTACAAAGAA